TGTTTTTTGTTTGTTTGTTTTTAATCAATCATAAAAATGTTTACAGTAGTCACCCATTGTCAGTGTAGTTTTTTGTGTGTGTTTTGGCCAGCACATTTGATCTAAGGGGCATTTTTTAAATTTTTCCTGTCCTCCTTTAAAGGAAGATGCTGAACTGGAGTTCCTTTTGGAAAGGAGGGTCACTTTAGATGCCCCTGAGTATGCTTATGATTAAAAATTGTGACATGAGAAAAAAAGAGGGGCTGAGTGGTGGTCCGGCATTAAAACAAAACACTCTGAGAAGCATACCTACCTGGGAAGAGTGTCTGTTTGTGTCCCCTGGTCTCCCTGAGTACAACTGACCCAAGTGTGCTATGACCAAGCCTGATTGAGGCTGGACGTAGTTTGTGGCATAAGGATGCTGTTAGGAGTGGTCTATCTCTGTCTCTGTATCTCTCTCATGGGATAAATAAATAAACTTTTTTTCTAAAAGGGAGAATTACAGATCTAGACTAATCACTAGATGGAGAGTGTATGTCTCTATACCTGTGTTGGCATATACCAATGGACTAAAAGCTTAAAGAGTGAAGATAATGTGTAATCAGTTTTGTGCAGTACTTGAAGTGGGAAATCAAGTTGCCTATGCATAAGAAGTAGTTTAATGTCTCATTCTAGAGTAGGTGGAACGTCATGGCCAGGAAGTAGTAACATAGAAGGACCCCTAAAAATGTACCATAAGTTAGCGAAGTTCATCCATACAGAAAGAGGCATGTAGGTGCATGTGAGGAAGTATTTGGAATGATTTGTATTTACTGTTGATTTTTTATGTAAATTATTTTATAGATTATAGAATTTGATCATGGCTAAAATTCTCTGCAGTCTTCCATAGTCTAATGGGAAGATTTTATTTTTCATCAATAACTTTCATAAATTTCCTCTGCAACTTTTTGTTTTAAACAATCCTCCTGATTATTACCTCTTCGTAAACTCATCTTGGCTCGTTATATTTAGGTATGACATTATTAGGAAACCTCTTTTAAAATTTTATCATTGTTTCAAAATGATACCTTAACCATTTATAGCTCTCAGGTTGTTGCTTAATTTTTTTGGAAAATGCTTGTAATTTACATTCTTTTCATTGTTTAAGTCCTTCAGAAAAAAATGTATAAAAGGAAAAATTACCAGGAAAAATTTTAAATCAGGAATTTTTTCTTACTTACATGATGCCTGGATGCAATTTTTCAAATGCTTTACCAAAATTTAAATAAGAGAGTATCTGTAAACAGCGAAATTATACACTCAATATATTTTGGCACATTTAATACCTGTTCTAAACCTATTTGATTTAACCTGGAGAACTGAAGAGCCAAAGAAAAATGAATATCCTCTAAATCACTTTCTGAAAAAGTAGTTTTTTTTTTTAATCCATTGAAATTTTAAACGTATATACACTTTCTTTTCCAAAAAAATTTTTAGAGCAGTTATAGGACTGCTTATCTATAGAACTCACTTTTCTGAAAGTATTGACTAATTAAGGGTTATTTTAAAAGTGTTTTAAAAGTTTTTGCCATAGGGCATGTGCATTCATAGAAAAGAGACAGAGACAGTCAGAGTAAAAGTGAGAAATCACCCTCCAGACAGGATCACCACCACCACAATCCCTTCTCCTCCATTCTTCTCCCAGGATCTTGGTCACACATACACATGTGCCTAGTGTGAATTTCCAGCTACCAGGTCTTGGACTCAAACTATGGTCAGCCATGTGGAAGTCCAGAGATTTAGTTGCTATGCCATGTGCTGGCTGGGGTCATATTTTATTATTTTCCTTTTTTAAGTTTATTTTATTCATGTTAGAGAACACCTGTGCATGCTTTAGACAGAGAGAGAAAGATAGAGGGGAGAGAGAGAGAGATACACACTCTACAGAGTCTGGTCACAAATATCCCCTTTCCCCAGCCCTCCAGCTCATCAGGATATGTGCACATGCCCAGTGTGCTTGCAGGCTGATCTGTGGATGGCCAAGTGGATTGCCAGAACTGCAGTTTAGTTTGCTGTCAACTGCCCTACCAGGCTGGGTTACTTTTGTTTCTAATAGGTGTGATCTTCCATCTTAATTTTTGCTCACAGGCAGCACCATTAAGGGTAAAATCACTAAGATCTGCTGTGATAGTTTCCACAATATTGCAATCTTTTACACTGAATTGAAAACCATTTGATGTATTCATTAATGCCAAACTATATTCAAAACACTTTGCTACACACTTTCAGATGCAACAGATGAATTAGGCAGATCAATGGTATATATAACATAGAATGTAGCTATTCTTATAATTTACTCCAGAGGTTAAGTTCAGGTTTAAGCATGCTGGAGGCGAGAGAGAGAGAGAGAGAGAGAGAGAGAGAGAGAATGAATTTGTATCACCTTCAACCTTTTAAACTGCAATTTCAAAAGTAGAATTAATGAGGAAGATACTGGGCACTAAACTCTTGCTTTATCAGAAATCCCAGGAATTTTTTCTTAGTAAAAATGCCCATGAACCATTTGGAAATATTGATTGAGAGTTCTATGGAAAATAAGAAATTGGAAGTAAGAATGTACATTATTACACTGGCAGCTACCAAATTAGAAAATGTAAAGGTGAAACATTTAAAAATATGAAGGACAAGGCCGACTCCATGGCTTAGTTGGTAAAGCAGCTGGATCCCATGCGATACACAATAAGGTTTGAATCTTGGACTGAGCAGCTTGAAAAAGATGCTAATTGCATGTGCTTAGGTGCGCAAAATCTCAAAAGGAAGAGATGGAGAAAGGATTACAGTATGACTATCCCCATGCAGTGTGCTTTCTCTCTCCCTCTCTCTCTGTCTCTCTCTGGTGAGTGAATGTGCCCTCTAGCAAAAAAAAAAAAAATTAAAAATGTGGGCAAACAACCCTTTACCCTTTACTCTTATGATGGTCATGATTTCATTGTTATTCAAAAAGAAGAAATTGACTCATGTTTTAGCAAATAGGAGACTTGCTCCGTTAAGTATTACTGTACATAATGCAGGAATTATAATCATAGTTACTTATAAAAAGTTAAATTCTATATAGCATTTCATATGTAAAGAGTATGTCTCTGTTCAACAAATTTTAGAGCTAAAGTCATCTTTGTATTTTTTTTTTAATTTTGTGGAATTAAATTCTTCTGTTATCAAGAAGATGAACTATGTAAAAGTATTTCATAAGGATAACACAGTATGATTTATTACTGTTGTCTTACATAAAAAGTAATCTTTTTTTCAAAGTAAGTGGTAGGGATATTGTAAATAATAAATAACTGCCATTTATAGAGCTTTTATTACATTAAGAATGTTATTTCACTAAATACCATAAAATCTATCTTCAGTAGATTTTATTCTTCCCATTTTAAGAGAAAAAATGGAATAGTTTAGGAATTTTATTCAAGTTCTTACAACTAATAAGGTCAGAACTTAGGGTGTAAGTAATTTGTCAACTCTTTAACACTAGCATTAACTATTGATTGATTTTCAATTAAATATGGCAAAAAAGTTATGATTGTCATGATTCCATTGTTATTCAAAATAAGAAATCAAGTTGCATTTGAGCAAATAGGGGCTTTGGTTATAAAACAATGGGACTGTGTCTTAAAACCCAAAGGAAAGCTGTGAAGCTGAAACTACATAGCCAGTTGCCCCTCTTCCTCTTTGTGCATCTGTGTTCCCACTGCGTTTGCTTTGCTGACCAGCTTTCTCTGTTCCTTAGCAAGATACATGTTCATATTTTCTGGACTTTCATTGTCATTAGCTCTCTTCACATAAAAAGACTGAAGATGAGCTGTTGCTCAATCCCAATTCTCAAAAGAAAAAAATCAGGTTAGCCCAGCATGGAGTGGGATATGAAGCACGTTGGTCTAACTTAACAGTAACATTATTATCAGGGTCTACAATCCCCGTGCAATGGTGCAGTTGTGTGATGGCAAGAAGATAGACCTCAAAGACAGTAAGTAATCAGAGACTGTGTGGGCTTTCAGCTGAGACAGCATTGCAGGTGGTTAAGATCATGGTTTCTGGAGCTGATCATGGTTTCTGGAGCTGATTTTCTAGATTCGGTTTTCAGCTCTCCCATGGCTGGTTGAATGACCATATACAAGTACTTAAGGTTTTAGCACTTATTTTCTTCTTTTCTGAAATGAAAATAATAATGTTATTACATCTAAACAGTTTACAACAGGTCCTAGCAACATAGTAAATATTCAGTGTATGTTGGTTATTATTTTATAATAGTGACCAATTGTGGCATAATTTTAACTTCTTAAATTAATTATGTAATTATAAGTTTAGTAATATTCCATTACTACTATGAGCCTCAGTGCTTCAAAAATGGCGTTTATAAAATGAGGACCAGCATGTGCCATGGAGGTTAGGGTGCTGAATCTGACATAACCAATTATGAAATTCAAGTCCCGGAACTGGAGGCTTGAAAGTCACACTGGTGCACGGGTGTGCATGTTCAAAATTGAGGCCAATGAGTAGGGATGGTGACATGGCCATCACCCCTGGGGCGTTATTTCTCACTTTCCCTCTCTCTCCCCCCCCCCTCTCTGGCAATCACACAACCCCTTCAGAAAAAAAAAAAGACTAAAGAAAAAATAACGTAATTATAAAATGTAGGGTCTTGCTCTAATTTTGCTAAGAGTTATATTATCTATGCACCTGTTTAAAACATTGATAATAAAAGATAAAAATAAGTTTTATAATAAACTAGTTACTTGGTACAATAAGGAATATTGCTTTCTTGCCATAGGGTGGGCGCCACCACGCCTGGAATATTGCTTTCTTAATAAACATGAAAAGATCATTTAATTCTTTCTGGTGAGTAAAATGTTTTCACAGGAAAAAAGAAACATAGTAGAGTATATTTGAGTGAGTATTAAAAATCGTAGACACTGTTTATTAAGTTATACAGTTTAGATGAGGTCATTCATTTTTCCACTGACTAATCAGGCCTTTCTTTTCAGGTACATGACAGATGGAGGGCTCAACCTGTATACCAGAAGTCTGAACCGATTACCAGACACAGCAACATCCAGAGATGTCATCCAGAGAGGCGTTCACGATGTGACAGTGGATGCAGACAGGTAAAGCCATTGTCAGCAGATGTGATAGTGAGAAGAGCATAAAGCAATTTATAAATAAGGTCATAAGAAATTTAAGAATAAACCAAAGGACTTTTTATTTGGGTAATATTTTTAAACTAAGGAAGTTTCATTTGCAAGACCATTTTGCCTCAAAATACTGAAAGATTGTGCTGCCGATGAGAATATTTTTAAGTTTTTAGGTTACATAGTGGCACATGTTATGATCTGTGAAAGAGAAATTATGGGAACAACATTTGGCATAGTGGAAAGAGAAATTATGGGGACAACATTTGGCATAGTGGAAAGAGAAATTATGGGGACAACATTTTGCATAGTGGTTAAAGCACTGGAATCTCACATGGCCGACTGACCGTGGTTCAAGTCCCAGACCCAGTGGTTTGAAACTCACAACCTGCATGTGTGTTTGTGTGCCCACCCAAAATCCTGAAAGGAAAGTGGAGAAGGGATCGGGGTGTGACCATCCCCCTGGGAGAGAATTTCCCCCTTTCTCATTCTCTGTCTCAGGCTAGTGCACATGCCCTATAGCAAAATCTCTCTCAAAAAAAGAGAAATTAATAAGCATAGACTTATTTTCTTTATTTGAAAGGAACTCTAGATAACAAATTCCTTTCAATTCAGATACCTGGAGGCTAATGATATCAAGATTAAAACATATTTTGAATTATCGGGTACAATAAATTTGATGCTTTTCTTGAAGCTATTGTGGAAAACATACAATTATTGCTTTAGGTTAATTTCTACTTCTCCATTTTCTCAGATTGTTTAAATATTTCTGTGTGTGTAAATGTGTGTGTAAATATGTGTGTGTGTGTCCTCATATAGTGGTTATTGTTTTGTTAGAAATTGTTCTGCCAATTTTACCGGAACAATGGCTTTGTAAAATAATGCTGTGAAACATAATACTCCCTGATTTTACTCCCTCTTTGCTCAGAAATTTATGTTTTGTAAAAGTTTATTTTCATGGGAGAGGAAGACAGAGACAAGGAGATATAGGGACAGAGAGACAAGCACACTGAACAGGGTCTTCACATTGCGCTCCATCCTGGTCTCAGCTGTTCTGGATTATGGGCACATGTGTGGACCTGCCATGCTCAGGGTGGTCCCAAGATATGAACCCAAGACACATGCCATGTGGATCCAGGTGTTACCTCTATACTACCATGTGGCTCCAGAATTTTGACTTTATTGAGAAGAAAAGATTTACGTATTTTCAGAACTGCTATATACCATGGGTCTTTTAAACAGTCCTTGGAAGATGTTTACTTTTTTTTAAAAAAAAAAAAAAAGAAAAGCTATGCGTGGATTTCAAAATTTTCTGCACCAAAATAAAAACTTGTACTTTAATTTCATCTTTCCACAAGCATTTTTGAAATCCCTTTGCATGCCAATACCCATAGTAGTTCTTTAATTCAGCATTTGTGAGGACATGCAGTTAAGACTTAATTTATCAACATTCTGAAATAAGTACTGCATGTAATTCATTGTCCAGTTCTGTACAGCCCTCCCCAGAGGAAAGACAGTGAATTCTATGTTAGTCTTCAGATTCTCCTCACTCAAATGCCTTTGATTATCTCAGCTGGTATTGGCTAGAACAGCCTTGCTGTCATCCTGTATACATCTTTAATTAATTATCTTGGCTTGATAGTCAGCTTTTGAGCACTACATAAAAGGTTTCTTTAAACAATTATGTAATTTAAGAAGAACAAAGAACACTTTAGTCACTTTTAAGAATTTAAGGAATACAAAAGCCACTTTCATCATTTTTGTGAACAATTCACAGTGCAAATCCTCTTATTAGCTGAGATAAGTGATCCTTTGTTATAAATAGTAATCTATAGATTATTATAGATAAGATTGAAGAGTTTATGATATCCTACATTCAGGAAGTGACTCAAGATGTACAACATTTTAAAATGCATTGCCTTAAAAATTATAGTTATATAAATCTTTTTGTTAATTTAAAATTCCTCCTTATTTAACGTGTTTTTCCAAAAAATTCTCTTAATTTTGATATCCACGCTAAGTAGGATAGCAAAAACAACTAAAAGACCTTATCTCTTTGTTCATTTTTACTCACCGTAAGAGGATAGACCATAATTGAGATCAAAGTAACACTTATTCTCTGCTGATTTTTTTTAACCTTTTAATCCTGGTATCTTAAATCATACATCATAGAAGATAACTGCAGACAATTCTAACTGGAGACATTTCTTCAACTAACCCCACACACACACGCAAACACTCATACACACACAATGTAGAAGATAGCATTTAAAAGAAAAAAGTCTTTCACAGAATCTTTTTATGATCATTTTCAAAATATATCTTTTGTGTTCCTACAGATTGTTCATTTTTCTGTTTCATAGTCACATCATCAATTGCATGTTTCCATGTACACATGACTCATAGAATATGAGACACTTGAACCTATGCTAATGTGTAATCATTGTACCCTCAGTGCCAGTCATATTGTAAAAATTCAATATCTGTCAGATATATTGCTGAAATAACCATAGCAGCTAATAAAATACAGCAATGTGAGTGTAAAAAGAAAACAAATACATCAAAAAATTCATCATACTGTTAAAAACTTTTGACATCACAGAAACTGATCTTATACATTATTTTTTTGTCTCATGAGATGATAGATAGAACTAAGTTAAAAATAAGTTGTCTCATTTAATATTGGATATCATACCACTTATTATAGAGTTACAACCTGCATTAACGTAAGAAATATACTGTGAAGTCCTACAGTTCAAAATGAAGTCTACTTAACTTTAGTTCAGTATTCCTTAAGCTTTCTTCATCACTAATTTCCTCTTTTTTTATATAATGATGATTAACTTTTTTTAAAAGTTTTTTGGGGGGGCTTTCATTGCACACATATGCTTGCCTGGGAAAGATAGACAGGGAAAATGAAAAGTCACCCTCTGGGGGGGATAGTCATGCCATAATTCCTTCTCCATTCTCCTGTTGGAATTTTGAGAATGCACTCACAAGAACCCAGCTTGTTTTTTTTTTTAAGCCATCAGGTCCAGGACCGAAACTGCTCGACTGGTCATGTGGGATCCAGCCACCTGCGCCCTCTTCCTGCAACATATTAAGAAATGCTGCTTTAGTATGATGTCCTCATTAAGGGGATATAATCATGAAAATTCAGAGACATTGTGATTTACCCAAGATCATGTAGCTAACAGAACAAGAACTTAGGTCTTTTACCTCCTAACTTCATGGTTTTCTAACTAGCTTAGTCAAAATTATTTTAAATAAAATGAAATTTGTTAGCGATCAAGTAATCTTAGCAAATTAGTAACTGGTGAGGTTTGCAGTCATGTACTGACAAGAAAGCATTAAATCCATCAAGTCCTGGCCTGGTGGCGCAGTTGATGCCTGGTTGAATTGTGATACAGCAGGGCTCATGCATTACTATAGACTGGGTTCCCAGGTCGGTTGGAGACTCACTGGATGTGTGCCTACCTGCCTGTCCAAGATCCTGAGGGCTGGAGGATTGGGGACTGGGGTACTTTACTTCCCCTCTCTCTCTTTCTTGTATACATGCCTGTGCTCTCTATCATGAATATTTTTTAAAAGAGCCAAAAGAAAAGAACAAAACAGTAGTGCTTTATTACTTTTTCACATATTTTAATAATCTTTCTAAAAACTATATAGATGAAAATGCTCTTACCTAATGGTAAAGAAGTCAGATATCTAGAATACCAATGATCCTGAACTATTTGTGTTGGTCTAGTGAAGTCCATAGGTTCCCCTTTGACCAACTCTGATTCATATGTGGGTGGGCAATAGAGAACAGATGAACTCAGGTAGCCAGCAGATTGAAAATGGCTCCCCCAAAAGAGAAGAGGCTTTCGGTGTCCTACTGAAATGTATTTTAAGTATTTTATTGCTTAAAGATATTGTAGTCTCCTTACTTGCCCCAACAATCCAGCACCAACTCCATTTCTGTATTAATTTAAGAAGAAATTAAAGAATGAGAACAAATTCTTGTCAACTCATAGGAGATTCTCCAGAAATTTCAAAGTAAGTCCATAACAGTTAATAAGTAAATGCGAGTTTTATGCATTTGGCCCTGGTTATAATAAGCATAACCCTAGTTCATATATACTTATACAGTTGTGTTATGTTGTGTTGTATTTAAAAGGTAAATGGGGAGGGGAGATGGGTGATTTGATGGTGTTGATTTCTTTTACCTTTACTAACTACTATACTGTCCTGATATTGAATTTTTAAAATAATTTATTTATTTTAATTTTATTTATGCATTCATTTATTTTAATTTGAGCAGAGAGAGACAGAGAGAGAGAAGGAGGGGGAAAGTGAGAAAGAAAGCCACCAGGTCCAAGACTCAAACCATAGTCAGCCATGTGGGAATGTCCAATGCCTTAACCACCATGCCACCTGCTGATCCCCCCTTATAATGACTTTATACTAAGGTCTCATTATATTGGATTAATAAATATATGATTACCTCCTTAGTGTCTGCCATCATAATAGCACTTTATGTGAAACAACAATGATCAGAGAGAGTAATATTAACAAAAAGCAAAGTGATGAAAATGTTGCCCAAGTCATAGCAGATGCATGTTCAAAGTGTATTAAGAGCACCAAAAAGAAATAATTATGTGAATATGAGGAAAGACTTTAAAAAGCCATGTGGTTTAAACAAGGCCTTATGGAAAGCATGCAACTTTTTGACTTAGAACTGGGAGACTGGGGAGTAAAAGCTCAGAGGCATTTAAGAGTTTGGGGTAGAGAAACATAGTGCTGGATCCTGAAGTGCACTGAGAATGTGGGCAGTGACCAGAGAAAAAGATGTGGGGGACTGTTTTGGGGTAATAGGAGCTATTTTATTGATTAGTTTTATTCTTTTATTTCAAAACAAGTACATGTATTATAATCATATTTTTCAAAAGAATTCTCTGACAGCAATGTAAGCATATTGAAGAGAGATAAGAAAG